AGTCAGTGTTGGTAATACTTTAGCACTTCAAGTGTGCTAATTTTGTCTTTTAATGCCTGGATCAATATCCATTACAATCAAGTCAATAGTCACATACTTAGTGACTCTAAGATTCTATTGATTCAAGTAATATACGTAAAAGTCCAGACTATTTTTCTGTTTTGTCTGTGTGTTTTTTTTTCATGTTCAGCACTCCTGGGATATTTGAGATACCTGAAAAGCAGCAAACATCAAAGATAGTATCTGATATCTGTGAAAGAGCACAAAATATGGTGCTCTTTTCATTTCTGAGATATTAGTGTAAAATGGACTGAAAAGAAATGGACAGAGCCCTTATGTAGAAACAAGGACTACTCAAGGCTATTTAAGTAAGTTCTATGTTGTTCTGAATGAAACTTATTCTCTCTTGGTCACCTATTGATGGTCAACACATGAGTTACGTGTTTTGAGTCAAGCACTATGTTATAGGAGATCAGAGTTTTCTCTAGAACATAAACTAAGTTAAACAGTTTAACTAGATTTAGAAAAAAAATGCAGTATTAGTACATGATTTATAGATTAATTGGAGACTACTTTCACCCTTGATGTTGGTCCATGTGGACTCACACAATTTATTTGTATTGTTTCAGAAAGTAAAGTGAGAGGTTGCATGATGTTTAATACTTTCAATTTCCCTGGGAAATAATGGTTCTCAGACCCTTAATGCCTATTACTATAGATACAAAATTTACGTGCTACTTCAGTAGTCAAAACCTAATACAAAGGTGAGAACATGAAAAGAGAGCGGCATTTTCCTGTCTCAGGCACACTGAATAGACCAGTTCAAGGCAAAAGGATGAGTGAAGCAAAGGGACATATATGCCTGAAGTTGTTGAAAATCAAAGGCACAGAAAATACTGTCAGAGAACAAAAGTGCTACCAGTTGTAAAGCTAAGTTTCTCTGCCTGAATGGGTAACTCTTGCCAGATCACCAAGCATCAGGTCCTACTGAACCCCTCACAGTTATAACTGTCTCATCTTTGACTAATGGTTAACAAATATGAGCTCTAAACCCTCTCCTTCTTGCTCAATCTCAACAAAGAATTTCCCTTATGCAGAAGAAAGTTATGTTTATACTTAGGGGTTTAATATGATGGGTTTACAGTTGGACTTGATGATCATAAAGGTCTTTTCCAATCATTATGATTCTATGATTATAGCACCTAGAGGTTTTAGATTTTCCATATAGTCCATGACTATAACATATATGTTAGGTGCCTAATGTGCTTAGTAGTGTTTGCCCAAAGTGCTGCATGCCAGTTCCAGCAGAAGGTGAGGATTCAGTCGCTGAACCTGGTGCTCAAAGCTCCAGAGGCACTCCAGAAACCATTTTCTCCCTCCAGCTAGCTGCTTAAAGAACTGTATCTGGAGTTTGTCTAATTTCCATTGAATTTTTATCCTGCAGTGCCCTGGAAGCCAAGTTCTGCTGAAGAGACTGAGAGGCACCTTGCCCTGCTTCGAGACCCTGGGACTCCCTGGGACATGCCTCTTGAGACAGCAAAAACCCATGTCACTGAGTCTGGCATCCAAACATCCCTTCCTCTGTACTTTAAGATCCATGGATTCATGCGAGTTCCTCTTTCCCAATCCCCAAACTTCTTTCATAGGGTCTCTTTGACTACTTTTTCATTTGCACATGCATTTTCTTTCCTAAATTACACTGCACCTCCATTAAATATCAAACATTTGATCCCAGGCCCTCAAAACTATTGGGTGGCAATGCTTTATCACCTGGTTTCTGTTCAGTATGCGTATTCATGGGAGAGAGATATATAAATATCCTAATGTTTGGTTCCTTTCTTAGATTTTCATATTTAAGAACAGGTAAACAGAAATATACACATAAGCGACAAATGAGTAAATATTTCCTTCTGGAATTGTTATGGGTTTTATAAAAGACGTAGAGAGCAATGTTTAGTTTTGAAGCTTAAGATGAAATCTCAAGAATATGTTTCATAGAAATAACCTTCTAATATGCATTAAGACACATAATTTATTATAAAAGAAGGAAAGTCTGGGTGTTCCTAAATTTACATATATTTTAGATTTACTTGATCTCCAGCTACATTGTCTCATCTACAGTCTCACTGTATTAATTCAAAAATAGTTAGCTGTGCGAGGACAATCAAATCTATCTTAAACTTAATCCAGCAATCCTTCAATTCTAATTATAACCTATTTCATTAATATTAAGGATCATATTTTAATCTGATCCCCATCTTCCTCTTTTTCTGTAAAATGACACAGGTAACTGTAATAAAAGATTTACTGGGTAGTAAAATGTATGTTTTCAGGTTACTTAAATCTTTCCCACATATTTTTCAATGGATAAAGTCTTCGTAGGAGGAAAATTCCATCTGGGATCTATTGACCCAACACTTATTTAGGGCAGATAGACTAATCATGATCTACAACTGATTCAAAGTATTAATAATGTATTTTTAATTGTTAGGTTACATCCTTACATGGAACATGAATGTTATTTTGTCTGTAATGTCTTTAATATTCCATTAACACATCAAAAGAGACCTTTAAACAAACGATATTGCACTTTCTGAAATAAATAAACCGGTTTGCATAAATCCATGAAGATTACAATAAGCATCATATTTACTGGAGTCTATGAAGACAAAGATTTTCATCTGCTCAGAGCAGACAGTTAAGTGCAAGATAGCATGCAACAATGCATACAATAAAAATAACTCTAGCACAGTGTAAAGAACAAAACTCTGAATTATATTATCAAGTAGTATGAAAATACAGAGAAATGACAAAACGATTTGCTCAGAGAAACAAAGTTTATCAAAGCAATACCCATAGTTATTTATACTGACCATTTTGTTGTGCCAGCAAAGTAAATAGCACTATTTTCCACGATTTAGTTGTAACTTAACTGGTACATCTTGATAGCACAAAAACTATTTATTCCCAGCAATACATTAGTGCATTTCTCAGGTAAGTAAACAATTACAAAAGTGGTTGCAAGGGGCATAATTTTCTCTACTGATGTGACGGATGTATAAGCCATACACATTTTTGCGTCTTAACCTGTGACCTAAATCCCAACCCTGTTACTATGGTCTTCTTTCAAGTGCCTAAAAATAATTTTTCAATGCCATTTGAGAGTCCCTACCTTGCTTTGTTTGTACCTACTGGTCCCAAAGAATGTGACCCTGACATATTTGTAAGACCTGTGTGAATGGCATGAACAACTGGAATGGTTCAAGAAGATCCCCATGTTTAAGCAATCGAATTTTATTCTGCATACTTTTCAAATCATCCATTGAGAATATTTGATATGCAAAAAGAGTAATAAAAAGAGTAATAGAATTAAAAGATCTGAACTATAATACTGAATCCTTATTTGCAGGTGAGAATACAAATCTTAACTGAGAGCCACTGCACAGATGAAATGCATCCTAAGTGAAAAATATTACAATACTGTAAGTATTTGTGGATTTTGAAAATAAGCAGAAACACACCTTCTTCTGGAAATATAGTCTAGTGGCCATCATTCAGAATGCGACAAAAAATTATCATTTTTGTTTTGACCAATAGGAACATAAAATTGAAACATTCTGTATTTGTGTGTGGTGAAGTATATGATTCAAAACACTAATTAAGGGGTAATTTATCATGAACAAAATGATGAAAATCTATTTGTTTACAATTATGCTTCCATATAAAACACATCATGACAAAATAAAAAATGGAAAATTCCCGATTTCCCATTTTCATCTCACCATTTTTCTTCCAAAAAATATATTTTTAAACATACTTATAAATGCCATTGAAAACAAAGAAATTTGATATGAAGATTTTTTTTTCATGAAAAGTACTGTGTACTGAAAAGATTCAGTACATCACAATGCACTTCCACACTTGAGGAGTCTTAATTTGATAAAGACTGTTTTACTGTTCTACATTCAATTTCTAATTCTAATTTCTTCAAGTCTAGAAGACATGATACCGCTTCTGCCTCAAATATAGTAATAGCAATTATTCTAGCAATTATTTTCCCATGTATACAGATTGCAGAAACCTGATAAAGATTGATTCTTTTAATGCTGTACCTCAAATGGAATTAACTTAAATTGTACATATGAATTTCAAATTTTTGATTAATTTAAAACACAAACCATACTGAAATGTCTTAAAATGATAAAAGTATTACTTAAATAATAAAATGAAGTTCATGGTAATTAAGTTTTATATTTGAGGTCAAAAGAAAACATACTTGGAAGAAGATACTTTATGTGCTAAGGGAAATGGAATTTTCCTAACATATCCATCTCTTATTTTTCATGCAGTTGTCACGCATTATTACATAGGAAAGAGATGATCACATTACTCATGAAACTTTGACAGCCATCCTGCTGGGCTCTTTCCAGCTCCAAAAATAATGATGGCTCCTTCTTTGGCAGCACCACATTGATAAAAAAATAGTTCATCAGGATTTCCTAATCACATAAAGTTTCACAACAATGCCAGGGCAGTGGTCAAACCTTATGTCCAACTAATAATTTTGTTTAAACTGACTGTTTTATATAGACACAAAAAATAATATTTGTTTTATGAAGCAAATCTTCTGAAATTCTGTAAAAATACAGCCTGAGAGCCATGGAAGAGCTAGTCATTTAACGGGTGAGTCAGATCCGTAGCTTTTATTCCAATACTACCAAAAGCAATGAACATTGAAAGACAGATATTATTCATTGCAATCTGACTGTTTAATTATTTTAAACAAACAGATAAGGCATGATTCTCATTTAAACTGACGATTCATTACAATAATGCGATGTTTAAAGGACCCTTAGAATAAATGAAAGTCAGGACCTCAATCTATAATACAAAGAGAGCATAGGCTAATCTTTCATAGCATAGCAGGTAGAAGAAATAATTGTACCAACTCTATAAACAAAATGGCATATCACCGTAGCGTTGTTTGTATTTCTTTTTACCTTCTGCATCGGTTAATCCCACTCCTGACTGCTTTACTGGTTCTTGTCCATTCTGGCTCATCTTCCCACTGTTAAAAAATATAGTGGTAGTTGTGAATAAGCCTATAAAGAGATCTAAGAAAATATATCCAAGCCAATTCCTCTTTTTTTTTTTTTTTCCTATTGCTATTTGGACAGATCAGTTAAAAATATATATTTTCTCTCTTTTGGAGGCAACTGTAATCATATTTTACTAAGCCTCTGCACTGGTACAGATTAGAGCAGAGGCCACCAGGTGCTGCCTATCACCATCAGCTCATGCTTCTCTTTTCAATCTTCATAGCTCATCTTTACTTTAAGCTGATATTGTCCAGGGAATGGTAAGTATGTAATATGGAGTAACAATATACAGTCTACAGTGCTTTCATTTCTGAGGTAAGGTGTCTCTGTGGTCATTGTCTTCCCTTGGTAATTACTTTAATACTGCAATTTAAGTTTGCTTAAGAAATGATTCAGTTCTGAGACTTGCATTAACCTTAAGGTAAAATGAGTGGCATAAGTCATGCTCTAGAGGTACCTGTCTCTCTTCAGCACATACAGAAAAACTGGGTGACTATCTAGATGTATATTTTTAGCTAGTGAAAGGTAGGCAAAATAAAAACTAATTTTAAATATACTTGTTGCAAATTCTATGGCATGATTATAATCATCCTCAAAAGCCTGTTCACTACTGAGAGAAGTCTGTTCTTCTATTTGCCCTTCTACTTCAATAACTTCTGAAATGCTCTAGTAGAGAATATAAGGCTCCCTAGGTGTGTATGATTTCTTACAAGACGAAGGATCAGTGCTTTTCCACACCAACCAGACTGATGTTTCATGGCAGCAATGAAAATCTGTCTGAGTTCTCAATAGACTAAAGAGTAACAAGTATAAAATGTCAATTCTTAAAGTTAAATTCAATCTTAAGTGACAGAAATATATTCTTATTTTCTGATTTAATACATTTTGTAAAGTACTGCAAATATGAAACAAGAATTATGAGTCATTTGGATTCAATTCCTCTACTTGTTATTCTGTTGCTTTTCACCAATGTAAAGATTCAACAACATTTGAAGTCAACAGCAGGGCACAGACATTGCACTGGAGCACATGGTTGCACACTACAAATGCAAAGAGGATCTGGTCCTTATCCTAGATGATAGTTTAAGTCATTTTAAGGGATACTACAAGTTCTGGGAATTGGATAATGATTTTTACAAATGATTTCCCAAATAGAAAGACTTTATAAAATGTATTATTCAACTGTGTATAACTTTGTATAATAATTAATTTCCCCTGACACTTATAACAATATTTGATATAGGGAACTATGTTAATTAGTTATCTCATTGAACAATTCCCATGATGTTACTATATAGTTATTTTATTTTACTTCCTGGCTAAATATTCGTATGACCAAAAGCAGTTGAACTAAAGAGTTTAAAAATTGTACTCTCTAATACTTCATCTATATGTAAATCAAAAACTTTATTTAATCTGAACAGAGTTTATCAAAAAAGGTTTTATATGCCAAGATACTTAAAGGTATTTAGCTGATTTAACACTTCACATCCCAATCATGGTCTGTAGGCCCATCGGTATATTGAATTAGTGTGTAAGGTCAGAGCCCCTGCAGTCACTATCAAGCTAGTATGAACATAAATACTGATCAGAATTTGTCATATATAGATTAAGATATATAAACACTTTTTTTTTGTCCTCATTTCAAAACTAAAAGAGCTCTACTCTGAGACAATCCCTGAGGTCTCTGATGATGAACGGTAATTTTGTCATTCGTATTCATTACACTGCCATACATACTCCTCAGGATAAGGAGCAGTTAAAAAAAAAAAAAAAGACATTTGTTATCTCCGTAAATGTCCAGAGCATTTTTTTTGGAGGGTCTGTCCAATATCTGTAAATAACCAATTTACTTTAAAAATGCAATAATAGGAAAAGGTAGCCTGGCTCATGAAACAGGAAATAAAAGGTCTGGATCTATTTTATTCAATTAAGAAAAGCTCCAGGAAAGCAATTATAATAAGAGGAAAGCTGAAAGCCACGGAGAGGGATTTCTGCTTTTCAGTGGAAATGCTGTTGATTTGGGGCTTAACAGAGAATCTGCCAAGGAAATACGAAATGATTGTAGATACTGTCATGTTGCTAGACTGTGCACAGCAGCAGGTAGTATTTTTTTGAACTCAAACTTAGAGTGAAAGTGAAACAAAAAGTTTTTCTGAGAGTTGTGCTTTAGGTTTGTGTATCCAAGGCCTGTCTACATCTGTGCTTTTTGTCATGAGGGATGACTGCAGAATAATTTTCTTCTAAGATTGTTAAATCCTCTTAAAAATCCTCTCTCTACCACTGAGAAGTACAACTCATTTTGGTCTAGAATAAGATCAGTGAAAAGTGCAGTAAAGATTAATCAACTGGGACAGTACATCCTGAGCTCACTTAGTCTTCCTACACACTGAAGGAGAAATGGAAAAATGAGATTGGTAGCTGTCTTTATCCTCTAATAAGTTACACTCAAATGCTTTTGGACTGTATTTCAGAAACAAGTAATACTTAGGAATGTGGCAGTTCAAGGGAAGAAGTTGAATGTTTTCTGTTTTGAATCAGTCAAGCTTTTCTAGAGACTCTATTAAACCTTGTGACTAATAATTCAGGACTGCAGGGGAAAAGGAAAAAAAAAATGTGCCTTAGAGGAAAACTTGGAGCAACTATTGCAGGTACTGAGTGAGCAAGGAACACTGATCAATATTTTCCATGGATCCATCCATTTTGAGAATAGCCAATCTATACAAATTTCAGGCTGGAAACATTAAATTGGTTAAGTTGAATTACTTTGTCCTATAAAGGAAATTGAAAAAGGAAAATATGTGCTGACAAAACAAAGGGGAAAAAAATCCTGCTAATGTTTTTCATTGTGGAGCAGTTAACCCAGGAAAGGGGAGGAAAGTTAAAATCATTTTGTAAAATCATTACATTAATAATAACTTGATAATTTCTATAGGGACTCCAAAACCATCACTTTAACTAAAATTGCAAACAAAGTATTTCTGAGAAATTCTACTTGAACTACTCAAAACTTGGAGAAAGTTGGGTCAGATCCAGTATCTGAATTTAACTTGTGCTATTAACATTTATTTCACTAAGCAGGTCAATCTGAAAATTCAAGCTGAATGTTTTCAAGCCTTGGAAAACTTTATTCTAAGATGTGACCAAAGCACACTCCTAAACACATCAAAGCTACAAGTGGCTTCTCTGCTGTGTGACAGCAATACATTCATAAGGTTGAAGAACAGATTTCATTTATTAACACTCGAGCACTCAAAAAGCAAAATGCAAGTATGAACTATGAGAATTTCTACCCAGTTTGAGGCTATGCTACCATATAACTTGAGTCTGCAGAGGAAACTGCATGAAAGAAGGGCTGGCAGGTGAAAGCGCCTTACAAAGCATTGTCAGTGCACAGAGGATACAATATATTAAAGGAAAAGCCTTACATTCTTGGGATGGGAAATAGGTTATTCTCTCCTGTGGTACTGCTGCTGCCTTCACTATCCATGCTGTATCCACTGCCAAAACTACTGGCTGACGAGCCAGTGGAGACAGAGCTTTCTGCAGGTCGATGGTTAGTAGACCTTGCTGTACAGGGCAGGAACAATGGGTTACCAAAAAACTTGTAAATCATGAATGCTATCCATATTAAGAAAAAAAAATCAAAATTACATGCTGCAAATATTTTCATATTTTACTTTACACTCTAGTATTGTGATATCATCTTTTGTAGATGTTCATTTTCACACAGAACAACATGTTCTAAACACAACAATGTATCACCATATTTTTCTACAATCATGTTGATAGTTCAAAACTAGTGTCCGAGGAGTGGGGATTAATACTGCTTTTCTGATTAAGGTTACAGAAAGTCATCTATTCATTATAGGGTTGTTTCGTAATAGCCTTTCCCCATTGTTCATGAAACATGCACTGTGTTTCTCCTTTGAGAAGGAGGCTGAAAGGAAATGTCACATGTATGCCATCTACAGTCACAGAAATTTTACAAAGACTTTTACTCCTCTTCAGACACAACATTGCTGCTACTTTATATTTCTCAACTGCTCCCATCCATCTGGATCTCTCTTACTATATGCCTAGAAGTTTGCAAGACCTACATTTGTGTAGAAAATGTACACCAACAGCTGTTATTTTTACATCAGATGCTGTATTTTCTGTTTGGATTTTGTTGCACTACATGAATAAGTTTTCCAATACTCAGCCTTTAGCAAGTTGAGAAATATACACAGAAAGGATGCTGTGACATTGCACTTAATTAGTACAAGACCAATAGAGCAGCTCTTCTCATACTGAATTACACAATTTTCTGGAAAACAATAATAGAGAATTCAAGACTTTTTTTTCTTTTGTAAATGTCACTTACTACATTTTGCTACTTCTATTGTTGTGCTTAATCTGTTTCAATTGAGTAAACTTGTATTTTTGTTCTTCAGTATATTTGTTTGCAAAGATATTCCGTGAAGACTTAGTGACGTTTTCTGTTATTTTGGTGAACACTGGAACTTTGAAGCAGGCAGTTAAAAGTGATTCTTTATTAAACGAGAAATGAATCATATATTTAAGTGGAAATAACTTCAAATAAGAGCCAGAGCACCAAAAGGATCTAGCCTAAAATTGGTACTTACTTATGTGTGACCAGAAGAATATTACTTTTGGTGAAGGCTGCTGCAAACTGCCTAATGTGAGACGAGGCATGTGAGTGTGACTCTTCAAATGTAATGCAAAACCAGATAATAACTGACATTGGAAGAGGGGAATGAAGCAAGCTATATGTCATCAAACCTTATTCTGAACTGTCAGTTAAGATAGAACTCTTATTCTGCAAAGTGATTCTTCACTGCTAAACTGAGCTGTCACATAATTCTTTTTTTTTTTTTAACTCTATTACCCACATCTGTAATGCCTACAGCCACAGGAGGAATCTGTCCACCTTAATTATTAGCTCTATTTCATGATTTTGTGCATTGATCATAGGCTACCTACACAGATGTTAATGCAAATCAACTAAGTACAAAATCACAGATTAATGAACAGGTACTTTTGAGTATCTCATCTAGACGGTAACAGACATCATGTTTTGCCAGCTCAGATCAAGCACTGTACCATGCCCTGCTCAGACAGAGGTGAACTCTATCAGTCTATTGTAGGTTGCTCTATCACGTTCCGTTTGTGGTATTCTTGTTGATTCCTATGAGTAGGGTGGCATGTCAGAAAACCACTTTTAGGGAATGTTGGACAAGGGTCAGATTTCAGAGAACACAAGTCAATCTTTCATTGATAAAAGAAGTGAATAGTACATTATATCATTTTCCTGACTTGTAAGTGGGCATTATCATGCCTATACCAAACTCATCCATAACCTGAACTGTCATACTATTTGAATGACCTATGTGACTTTTTTTTTTTTTTTCCCAATCTCTCTCTGGCCATGCCGTGACGATTGCCTCACAGGTGAGGACGAATGGGATAGTCACACATTTGTAAAACATACGGAAGTAGGGCAAGTATGGTGGTGGTGAAAATAGATGTTTCTACTCCTTTCCTCTATGCAAGTTCATGCTTGCTTAGTATAGTGTAGCATAAGGCAAAAATGATTTAAATTTTAAATCATTTAAATTTAAAGATTTTGCTGAAAATGCTGGTGGCTGAAATTATTTCTTAGATGATTAAATTGGTGAATATCTAGAAATAGTCCAAATTTAGAATTTAATTTAAGCAACAGATAAATTTGAATTCAGTCTTCATAAATGGCTTAAAAGTTTTCACTTCTATTTACAATCAAAATATATATTATTTTGAAATAGCTATATCTTGATGATACATTCAGTATATAGATAAATCTAGACCTATTAAGTCTGTACTGCTGGCTATAGAGCAAACTTTCAAGCTCTGAGAACATGATTCCTGTAGTCAGACAATATTTCATGAGAAACAGAATAAGGGTTAGTAAGATTTGTACTCTCTCAAGTTAGAAGTTTGACCCTTATCCCTTGTCTCATATGCAAGAAAGTAGTTTACAACAAGGCTGAGTAAACTCAAAATGATACTCCACTAGTCTCACCAGTTGAAGTAACACCTATGAAGGGTCAGAACTCTTCAGGACAACTGTCATCCTAATGGGCCAACGGGCCTCTATCAGCAAAAAGGACAAGAAACTAAAGTGAGATTATGGCAGGCCTGAGGAGAAAAGGTTCAAATCTGAATTACAGGGCTCCTGAACAGCTGTGTGGGTGTTTTTTTTTTTTTTTAAAAAAAATTCCAAAATCTCCGGTTTTGGCGTCAAAGTTCCACGCCGGGGTTTTTTTCCTTTTTTTTTTTTTTTTTTTGTGGTTTGCAGGTTAGATATTCTTTTCTTGTATCAGAGGTGTTTTAGAGTAGAAGACTTAGCTGTGCTTTGCCTAAAGATACACTGTTATCCCAAGAAGAGTTGTAGGAAAGGCAACTGGTATCATTTGAATATTAGGCAGCCAGCATAAGAAAGAGCTAAATTTCAAAATATTTCCTGGTCCTTAGCGGGGGAAAAAAAAAGAGAGAGAAAAAAAAAAGGCTTTAACTTCTCATTCATCTTCAAGGTCTTGCTGAAAATTACATATCATGACAAAATCATTCTATTTTTGAGAAGAAATACACTTCAGAAGATGTTAGTGTAAAAATTTAACCAGATCATTACCCAGTATCATCATTTGGCCTCCTACTGGGTAAGAGGAGATCATCTTTCCAGTCGTTTGTCCATGAATTCTCTCTGAAGTTTGTCAAATGTTTTGTACTTTCTAAAGACTGTAACCTCAAATGACTCTAGGTTGTTCTAGAATAGAAACAGGAACAGCAATTCAAAGCTCTAATATGTGTTACTTTCTACAGAATTTCTGCTATTACTATGGCCTTCTTCATTTTTGTCTACAACTCTGCCATATCCTTTGGCTAATCTGAAAATGTGCTGATGCGTAGAGATGTCACATTTATTAGCTAGCAGTATGATATTAAAGATACCACTGAGTGATACTGTTTTACTGTCTTTCATATTGGTTGGCATAAACAGAGGTACCAGTTCAAACATTCTAGAGAATAACACAAAACCAAGCTGGAAGTTTTCTTGATTGCCTATTTGTAGAAATTAAGAAAGTGGATCATAATATTATCTTTGGCATAAGGACCGCATTTTCCAATGAAAAAAATGATAATGGTTAGGCAATTGTCTTCTATGCTGTTTTAATATTGTATATGGAAAAAACATTTGACAGAACTGCTGGTTCAAGAAAATTGAACCTCACCTTTTATTCCCTTTCATACACTGATATATATAGACACGGCAAGAGTATTTTGCTTCTGGAGCCAGTTAGAAAATCAACTTTAATAACCAAGTAAAACATGTAAGCTGTCTGTCAGCATAACAAAAATGTCTTATTGAAATCAATAAGAAAGGAAAACCTGATGGTTTCACTTAATCTTTCAGAAAAGTCTGTTCTTACAACAGAGAATAGATTTTCTTTCTCTAACATAAGGGAGATAATTCACAGAAAAGCTATAGTTTTGAACTGTCAAATCAGTTAGTAGCAAAGTGGAAAAAATCCAGTGCTGTCCTGCCATTTTTCTACAGTGAATGGATAATTCTTTAAAGAAGAAATTAAAAAATAGACTATGCAGTGCTGTGAGTCACACACAAAACTTTCTTCTGGGTTATATAGATGATGCATTCTCTTCCTTTCAAATGTATGATCCCTTCTTGGAGTGTCTGTCTAGGACCAGAAATTTAAGTGTCTAAGCACACTGGGAAAGCCTTTTTATAAACCAAACAGGAATAGAGGAAAAATACTTGGATTCAGGATTAACCTTGGAGACTTTGCTCCAAATTGCTTGAAAGCTTCTCTATACTGGCAGTTTTCTGACAAGCCTCAGGGAACAAAATGGGCTAATATCTTGCTGAAACTCCTCAATGTCCTTACATATAAGAAGAGAACCACCGGAAGAAGTGTCTTTTCAGATTGGATTTGGTTTGGCTCCTGACCAGTGGACTGGGCAGCATGCCCTCACGCAGAATGTCCTCTAGCAGGCGCATGTCCACTGATCTCAAATGCCTCTTCACCTATTTTTATGAAGGGTTCACCTGTGCTGCTATGGCCTGCTCCGGAGAGCTTGATGGAGTAGAAGTTGCCAGCTGAGACTGCTATTTGTATCTCTGTGAACACAGTGGAGATGCATAAAAATCAGTCATCAAGGGGTTATACTGCAAGTCACTTTTAATAGTCTCCTTCCCTCACTCTTCCTCCTACTGATTGATATCATTTAAGACACATTTGTCTATTAGATACTGCTATAGGTATATTTTATGAAATTTTAACACAAATCTTCACAGAGCAATTTATCATATAAACTGAGTCATGGTGGCAGAATAGCACACATCTAAAACATGGTGATTGTATTCCTTCACCCAGCAAAGCAATTCTGATGATATAATTTTCTTTCTTGTGCTTCACAGGCTTAGGCTACCATCTAATCGACTTTTTAAATAGGATTTATCAAGTGAAGAATCTGAGCAATTTTGTAGAATTACATGTCAGCTTGAAATG